CTACGCACGCTTCAGAGAAGTCGCAGTAGTCAGTTGCTACCTAACCCCTAGCGATGACATAAGCACCTTCCAGAATAAACTCGATGTAATCGAGGATCTCCTCGTGGATCGACGGCAGCCCTTCATTGTGGCAGGCGATCTGAATGCACGAGCAGTGGACTGGGGAATGTCGTCTACTAACTCTAGAGGACGAAAAATTATGGATATGGCCGCTAGGTCCGGGCTAGTGGTAGCAAACCGCGGAAGCAGACCTACCTTCCATAGTCAATCCTGGGACCAGACCTGTGGAATATCAGCTACGACGACATCCTAAGACTGGAAATGCCTGAAGACACCTTCCTTATTAGTTATGCCGATGATATCGCAGCCGTCATTACTGCCAGAAACACCATAGAGGCCCAAAAGAGACTTACCCAAGTCATGATCCGCACACAGACATGGCTCAGCTCTCGAAGATTGGAGCTTGCCCATAAAACAGAGTTACTTCTGTTCACGGGGAAGCAGATCCCAACCGAAATAGAGATGCGAGTAAGCGGAAACCTGATAAGGACGCAAAGGACAGTGAACTATCTAGGCGTTAGGCTGGACAGTAAACTTACCTTCGGGGAACAGCTGAAGTATGCCACGCGAAAAACAGCGACAGCAACGGGGTCTCTGAGTAGACTGATGGCAAACGTTAACGGCCCAACGGCAGGAAAACGGAGACTCCTCATGGAAGCGACAAATGCAATACTGCTATATGGCAGTGAAGTATGTGCGGATACCTTAGAGGCGAATGTAAGGCGAAAACCGATGCTAGTTGTGCAACGAAGAGCAGCCTTAAGGATAACATCGGCGTACCGCACAGTCTCCGGGGCGGCCGTGACTGTGATAGCAGCAATCATACCGGTTGACTTGCTTGCCCAAGAGCGCAAAAAAATATGGAATCTTCGGCAAAGAGGAGAATTCTCAGAACATGCGGCAAAGAGCATACGACAGCAAACCATAGTCTCGTGGAAGGCGAGATGGTCATGCGAAAGGTATGGAAGATGGACCGCTAAAATAATCCCCGATCTGGAGCAGTGGATAAATAGAAAGCACGGTGAAACGTCTTTCTATTTGACACAACTACTCTCCGGACATGGATACTTTCGAAAGTACCTAAATAAAATGGGGAAAACTGCCGAATCCAGCTGCATTTACTGCGAAAATGCAATGGACGATGCAGAACACACCTTCTTCAATTGCAAAAGATGGTCGGAAGAAAGAATCGACCTGGCTGAAACAGTAGGTGAAGTCAAAGTAGAGACGTTACTACAGAAAATGTGCAGCAGCATAGACGCTTGGAAAAAAGTCTATGACTTCGCCGAAAAGGTTCTGCGGCGGAAGAAGTATGACCTAGACGCAGGCACACAGAGGGCAACGCTCATTTAGAGCACACAATGGGGTTCCACCTTGAAGGTTAATGCGGGATATCTCCTGGTTCCAAGGTGGATTTGAGCCCCAGTAGAGGAGGATTTTTTAGTCGGTAAGCAGTTATGCAGTCCGACACACCGGTCAAAGTGACGACATGACTGACGGTGCATAAAGCATTTTTTCCTACCTCAGCCCAACAAAAAAAAAAAAAAAAAACAAGGCACTTCTAATGAAGTTAGGTAGTGATAGCCAACCTAAAAGTGAGAGTCCTAAAAGTGAGAGTTTAGTCGACAACGAGCCAGGGCTATCAAATATGGTAAATTTTAATCATATGTTGTCATGCTCAAGGCATATCAGGTGACAGATGCTAATTACCCAAAAGCGTTAGCTGCTTTAAAACATGTGTATGACAGTCAGTGTCTCATATTTTTTAACAGCATTTCGAAACTATTTGACCTCCCACACATGTCTGAACCATCAGCGTCATCTTTGCGCATGCTGATTGACTCAGTACGTGCCATTTACGAGTCTCTATTATCGCTAGGATCTGATAAGCAGATTTCGAATGCCATGCTCATCCATTTAGTAATGATGAAAGCAGACGCTGACACGCGATCTAGGTGGGAAGAGAATCTTGACTACAATAAGCTTCCATTGTGACAAGATTGTGAAGCTGCCTTAAACAGACGGTATCAGCATTTAAGTGCTGAAGAATCATCTGGTCCAAGTCGTAAGGTAGCTCAGGATAGTAGGGAAAGAATTGGGAAAACTTCATTGGCTGCCGCTCTGCCAAGTCAGCCACAGAGTCCTAAATGCGTGTTTTGTAATGATCACTTCATTCACTCGTGCTCGTAATTCGCAGCAATACCCTGTCAGAAACGTTTTGCGTTCGCAAAAAGCTATCCGCTCTGTATGAATTGTTTGCGAACAGGACACTCAGTGGCTGCTTGCAAATCAGCCAATGTCGTGTGTACTCTAAGCCGCACCATACCATACTGCATAGATACTGCTCAAAGTAGCTCAGCAGTTGTATCAGCAGTCTCTCGTGTCACTTCGTCACAGATTTCATCTGTAAATCACGCACGGATAGCCTCTGATCAAGTATTTTCGGCAACTGCAGTTGTGAAGATAAAAGATCAATCTGGATCTTATCACTTAGCTAGAGCATTATTAGATTCCGGCTCGCAAGTAAATTTCATAACTGAAGAACTTGCGAAACAGCTGAAATTAAAAAGGCTAAGATCCAGGATTCAACTGTTGGGCATTGCTAATTATCAGTCATCTGTTCGACACAGTGTTCAAATCTCGATAGCGTCCTGAACGGACGACATCGAGACCCGAACGGACTTTGGTGTGTTACGTTCCATTTCGTCGTACCAACCAGAGAAGCTTACTGAAGAGATCAAGATACCTGTTAACGTACAATTAGCTTATCTTCAATTCCACAAGCCCCAATGTATAGATCTGCTGCTCGGTACTGATATCTTTTTTGATATACAATACTAAGAGATGGCAGAATAAAGGGACCTGATAACAGCCCAATATTGCAATTGACTACCTTTAGTTGGATTGTATCTGGTCGCTGCCGAACATCGAGGGCAGCTAATAGTTCTTCGACTTTCATTAGTGTCGTAAACGACGACATAGAGATAGATACAATAGTTCGCAAATTCTGGGAGTTGGAAGAAAAGCCAAAATCAATTCATTCGAATTTGTATACCCCAGGTCAACAACTGTGCGAGAAATCATTTGTAGAGACTATTTGCCAAACTACCTCGGGTCGGTTCAGAGTGTCGTTGCCATTCAAGTCAAGCCCACATTGTCTTGGTACGTCTTATGACACAGCCAAGTGGCGTTTTCTGGCCTTGGAAAGAAAAATGCGCAAGCAAGGAGACATTCGGCCAATGTCCATTGACTTTATGAAAGAGCACTTGGCCTTGGGACACATGAGCCCAACTGATAATAAAATTCCGAGAGAGCCGCATTATTTCATTCCATAACCAGCTAGAAATGATATAGTCATTGGTCATCAAGAGGACACAAAAACATTGGGATTAATTTGGAATCCGATGAATGACAGTTTTAGATATTCCATGAGCTGTCCAGTAGAAAAAAGATCCGTTTTGTCATTTGTGGCAAGGTTATACGACCCCTTAGGTTTGTTAAGTCCGATCGTAACTCGTGCGAATGTCCTTTTACAAGAAATGTGGTTACATAAACTTGGGTGGGATGACCAATTGCCTGTCCAAATGAGGCTAGAATTTGAGGCAGTAACTAGCTGTTTCTCAAACTTAAGCCCGTTGCATATACCTCGTTACGTTGGCACACTCAAATCAAAATGATGCCAAATCTATGGATTTGCTGATGCCCCAACGAGAGCTTACGTTGTTTATACGTAAGAATGCAAACAGATGAGGGTATCACTACCAGGCTGCTAGTCGCCAAATCTAAGGTAGCACCTTTAAAAACTAAGTGTGTTCCGCGGTTGGAGTTGTGTGCTGCAGAATTGTTAGCTACCTCGTGGGATGCGGTAAAGAAAATACTTGATTGTCCTATTAATCAAGTCACATTTTGGTCAGACTCGGAGTTTGTGCTTCATTGGCTGCGAATGCATTCATTTAGCTTGAACACATTTGTTGCTAATCGCGTGGCAACCATCCAAGAGTTGACAACTAATGTATCTTGACGTCATGTACCAACGAAAGACAACCCAGCAAATATTGTATCTCGGGGCTATTCAGTTGAGCAGCTTAAAACATCATGGTGGCTTTGCGGACCAGGATTTCTAAAGCTTTCCGACACGTTGTGGCCAACCAACCCACAAATCACTTTATCAAAAGAGTTAGAGCTGCTAGAGAGGCGTAGAACTGCAATTACTATGATCGCGGTCGATGAGGTAACAAATCCCATCGTACAACTTATTGAATCAACATCGTCATCCTCTAAGTTAATCCGCATAGTTGCATATATGTTCCACTTTATCAATGGAAAACAAGTAAGAAAGCTATAGTCGAGACTGCTCGACTACGAGATCCCCTGAACCTTTGGAGCAATAGCTATTTCAATAATTTTTCGCGTCTTTAAGCTTACACAAGAACCACGCACACACGCACACACACAGCATTTGTATCGCTCTCATTGCCACGCCGATCCACTGGTACTAATGAGCCTGCTTCGTCAGCTGGTTTGGCTGGTCAATGTTCGAGAGGCTTGCAGTGCAGTAGTTCGAAAATGCGTACATTGTTTTCGCTACAAGCCGAAACCCTTATCCCAAATAATGGGCAATCTTTCCGCTGATCGCTCACATGGAAATAGGCCATTTGAGATCAGTGGAGTAGACTTTTGTGGTCCAATACTAGTTTCGCTGGGAATTCGTGGCAAATCGCCAGTTAAAATGTATATTGCCATATTTGTTTGTTTTACCTCGAAGGCTGTGCATCTAGAATTAGTCCCCGATTTGACCTCGAACTCATTTTTGATGTGTTTATCCAGGTTCGTTGGTCGACGTGGGCTTGTCCGGAAGCTGTATTGCGACAATGCTGCACCTCAGAGCTACTTTCCATGGCAACATAGTGGACATGGAAACGTTTGCTGCGGAGCGGTGAATGGAATTTGTCTTCATTCCTCCTCGAGCGCCGCATTTCGGCGTCCTTTGTGAAGCGGCAGTGAAATCTGCCAAGGGATTGCTGCTGAAGGCAATGGGCAGCGCAATCTTGCCTCAGGACGAGGGGGCCACCGTGCTGGTCGAGGTCGAGGCCGTGCTCAATTCGCGGCCAATGGTCGCTGCCAGCAGCAACCCCAACGACGGCGAAGTGCCCACGCCAGGGCACTTCCTGATAGGAGCCACGCTCATGCCGCTGCCAATCGTGTCTACAGAGCCAGTCGACGACGTCAAGCTGACATGCTTAAAAAGATGGCAGCTGACATCAAGTATTAAGCGTCGGTTCTGGATCGACTGGTCAAGGGACAACCTCCAGCCTCCAGCATAAGTCAAAATGGACGAAGGAGAGGCAGAACCTAGAGGTCGGAACAGTCGTGCTCGTGGGAGAGGACAACGCTCCTCCACAACAGTGGATGCTGGGCGTGGTAACGGAAGCCATAGCCGGCGGAGATGGTAGGGTGCGCGTAGTTGTCATTAAGACAAAATCTGGCACCTACAAAAGGCCAATTCATCGCGTTGCCCCGCTGCCAGTCAACTAACTTATACTTAATTATTTTATTGAAGCCCTACGGCCTTTCAACGCGGCCGATGTTAAGGCATTTGCATATAATTGAATTGAAATGTATTGAAATCTAGTATAAGAAATTGAAGTAGTGAATTATTAATTATGAGCCACTGTTAAATATTTGTTGCTGTGAGGGCGAGCACGGGAGTGCGTTCTAATGGTGTAGCTCTCTGTTCGCGCATAGATGCGCTCACTCTGTGCAAGCTGCGCTTGCGTTATTTGATCTAATAAACAGTACAAATTGAAACACTGGTTCGTTCGTTTTCATTCGTTTTCAAAGAGACCGCAAGTTGCAGTCTACATATTTGATTATATATTATACACTGGCCGATTGAAGGACCAGACTCCTTTTGGAAGGACAAATGTTCCGAGGGATGCAGTAGATAAAAGTTTCTGCAGTCTACTTTGTATTTTAGTAAGTTACGCCATGAGTTCGCTAAAGAGCATCCCCATGACTGATGTCTGCAATTAAAATCTCCTCCCAGAATGAATGTACAATATTATTTAATAGGTGATTTATGCAATGAATGTGATTGTCACTTTTAATAGCGTTAATCATGCAGAAACCTCGATCAGTGACTGCTATGGTCTTGTCGTCATCCATTGCCAAATTATAATCACTCAATATTTTGGTGGTTTTATTCTTAATGGTTGCGCCTGAAATAATAAACATTATTGAAATAGAGCTATTGGAATATTAATATTGTTATTCTACCTGTATTTGATTCATCTCCCATCGATTTCAGTGCTAGCAGCCGGGTGACCTTTCCGCCGCCTCTAATACAGTGCATTGTGCATTTCTCGAGATTGTCGACGGATGGGGAGTAATTTCATCTATACTTACTCTACTACCATATTTTGCTCCAACTTTAGTAAATATAGCAAGTAATTTCGTAAACAATCGTCTTTAATGATATTAAAGGGCCGACAATTTTTGACGGTCCATTCAGCGGCGGCATCTAAAATAAGCTTTTTGGTTTCTAAATGGACACGTTTCGGGGACGTCTGATTCAGTTAACGAGTTCTTTGCTGCTATACAGCATTTGTGTATTACTATATTGGAAGTATAACTAGAGTACTTCAGGATTCTGAAACATTTTTTGCATCCAATAATATTTTATAATTCTACTCCATTCTCATCCATTACCATGGCATTAAATTTATATAGTCCTTCCAGCAATTTGGTCTTGATCGCATCATATTAGTTCGATTGTATGTGAGCTTTCCAATATTCTATGCTAATTTGAAAACATATGTATGTACACAAATACATAAGTACGAACAGTGAACTTTTGATTAACGATCACAATTCGTTTCAGAATCTTGTTCGTCAAGAGAAACTTTATTCCCAAAAAAAATCGCTTGAAAAAAAGTGTGTAAAACGCTTTACACTACTTGTCCGGACTATTTAAGAAAAACAGAAAAAATGTTAATTTTTATACCCTGAACCCATTTTCAATGGGAAATGAGGGTATAATGGTTTTGTTAAAAGTATGTAATAGGCAGAAGGAGGCGTGGCAGACCCCACAAAGTATGTATGTATATTATTGACGAGCTAAATCAATTTGGCCCTGTCCGTCTGTCCGTCCGTCCGTCCGTATGTATGAACGCGTCGATCTCAGAAGATATAAGAGCTAGAGACTTGAAATGTGCAATTCGGCTACGATGCAAATTTCGCCAGTTCGTTACCCCAGCGGAGTGAACGCCCTGGGAGAAGCGCGTGCAGCTAAGTGCACGGGTTGTAGCGGACGTGCTGAGTGGGCACGTCAAGCTTGTGGGCCCACCGAGGTAGGCGTGGGAACGTGGTCAGAGCATGGTATTAACTTATATCACTGACCAGAGAACACATAGACTAGACATGTAGAACAAACTTTTTCAACACCGAAAAAATGCGCTGAGCGGACCGGACAACTTCGTATTTGGTCGGCTCGGTCTTCTGAGGCTCAAGCAGTGAAAATAAGGCAAGACAAAATCAGTGTGCTGCGACTGCTGCCACGAAATGCACGCATTACTAAATGAAGCACGGCTATGCGCTCTTTTTCCCTTACTCACTCTCTCCCTCTCTTTATGCTCTTTCTCTCTCTCTCTATATATGGTCACTCAAATAGCAGCAGCGCACAGAAATTGAATATTGTTCGCGACGATCCCAGCTCTTTCCTCTTGAGTGAAGGGTATACCGAAATCATAAAAGCATTTGGCACGCTCATGCAAACAAAATGTAAGCGTTTCGATGGTTATTCGTGGGAAGGGTATGAAAGCGTTGATACGCATAAACAATATTATTTCGCGACGGGCAAGTACACACACACTTGTAGTCCCTTGCTACATGTATGAGCATTTGTGACCTGCGTGCCAAAATTCAAGACGAGCTCAGTCTTTTTTTAAATGCTCCTGCTTTTCAATTGAAGCGTAATGTCGTCAACGCCTGGGAGGAGATGCGTACTGTATACCCTAAGCTATATGTTATAGCTTGTCGGTATTGTTTCTTAATAGGCACTTCGGTACCAGCGGAATGTCTTTTTTCCAAGGCGGGTGACACATTAACCGAAAAAAGGAACAGGTTAACAACAGAGCACCTTTCACAACTACTATTTCTTAACTCAATTTTAAATAAATAAACATTTATATTCTTTACTGTTCGTGTTGCTATTGTTGCTTCTAAAAGGAGTTCATAAAAAAATAAATTAAGCGCATTCAAAAAAATCATTTGATTAATCGATTTTTCCATTTTTCCGCGATTAATTGCAATTAATCTTTAAAGCACATAAAATAAATCATATGATTAAATAATCGAACAATGATTTTTTTTGCCATCACTATCCTGCACGCGCTGACGCAAACGTTTTACCTCCGCTTCGTATTGTTCGCACGTCTCACGGCATGACCCAGTTCCGTATTGGTCTCGGCCAGCAGCTTCTTCAACTTTGCATGCGACATTTTGACTTCACTAATTTTCTTATTACGCCTTTTGTCAGTATCCACCAGGTTAAGTAATTGTTTTTTTTTTCTTACACAATATTCTTACACAATTCTTGTTAACATTATTTAATAGGTTCAGTTATCAAATTGAATTTGTCCAAATGAAGTTATTTTCTTTCTCAAAAATATAGAGTTGTCTCCCAGACCACTTCGTATTTGCTCGGATCTTCAGTTTTACGAGGCCTAAATATGTATAAGTATGTATGCATGTGATCACAAGCAGCAGCTCACGAAAATTTCGTCGCGTTGAGTCCCGTTTCTTCCCTTCTGTGTGAAGAGAATACCTAACTTTTCAAATCGTTTGCCATGCTCATGCGAAATGTTTGCATTTTCGTTATTATTTGTGGGAAGGGTATGAAAACGTTGGTGCGCATAAAGAAAATGTTTCCGCGATGAGCATGCACACACACACTCTCGCTATATGTACTATGAGCATTTGTATGTCTGTGTGGGAAGCTCTGGCTGCCTGTAGAAATTTTGAAGCCCAGCATTTCCATTTGGTCGATCTTGTGAAGTGCTCATATAATACGACTGCCGAAAAACGTGTGCAAAACGCTTTACACTACTTGTCCGGTCTATTTGTTCTGTGGTTAGTGATTGCTGCTAGGATCGTCAAATTACATATATGTATGTATCATTTAAACAATTTTGATTTTTATTATATATTTATATCCATATATTGGATACCGGCTTCAAGTTAGCAGCAGATCGGCGCGATTTTCCTATTCATGAGCACACACTCATCGTCTATTCTATGCGTACAAAAAGAAGCGCGCCTTTTAGCATATTCTTAGAATTACGATTGATCTCAGGACTTTCTAGCCGTTACTGTAGTTTTGTCTGATGACGCTCTCTTATTAAGCTATTCTATTTTAGCAACTGGCTGATCAAGCAAACCAGTGGCGCGGGTGCTAAGGGCGACGCAAATTATGTTAGAGTAAGGGAGGTTCAAAACCTCTTCGATGCTTTTTTTTTTATACCCTGAACCCATTTTCAATGGGAAATCTGGGTATAATGGTTTTGTTGAAATGTATGTAACAGGCAGAAGGAGACGTGGCAGACCCCACAAAGTATATATATTCTTGATCAGGGTGACGAGCTGATAGAGCTGGAAAAACATCGATTGCACTATCGATACATCGATGGTTTTGTATTTTTGAAAAACATCGATGTTCGCTTGCTACTATCGATATTTTTCATTCTTTTGCACGTGCTCGAAGTGAAGACATGTAAGTTACAGTTTTCTGTATTTATATCTTTTTATAAACCATTTTACTCTTGTAGAACCCAAAAGTAAGCCGGTTTGTTGACTTTTGAGTTGGTTGAGATTATTTCAATTATTAATTCTAGAAGAGGAGCTGTCGCAGGAAATGTCCAAAGCAACGCGAATTTCTCAACCAACTCCACCAGAGCCGGTACGGTTTTCGTTTATGAAGGACAAATTACAAAGCAAAGTGTCGCCCTCAAAGAGTAGGGCCATAATCATCTTGCGGCAGCACTTGGAAAATTCTATTGCACCAGAGGAATGCAGTCCACTGGAATATTGGAAGATAAGATGAAATTTGTTGATTAACTACTAAAATTCAAGATTTTTAAAAATAATTTTTGCGTGTTCCGGCGTAATCGTGCGAGTCCGAATGAACTTTTAGCAAAGCAGGGCAAATTATATCAGATCGCCGATGTTCTTTGAAGCCAAATGTAGTAAATATTTTATTGTTCCTTAATACAAACATGAAACTACTGGATCTCAAATAGACTTAGAAGTAAATTATGTATCTTAAATG